ATTTATTCGACTAAAAACATATCACTTAAATACGATAACATTCTTTATCTATCAAGTCCTTTATCACTGTCACACAATATGCCATTGGTCTTCACGACTAAAGTTAACTATCCATCCAAAAACTAAAGAAGTGTTAGTAAAGACCTTGGAATTATGACACTTCGTCATGTTCACGTCTCGTTTCAATCGCGCCTGCTTTCTGTTATACATACATCTCCAATTTTTATCAATACTACATCATCTAAGGTAAATTGTCAGCGTTTGCATCATGCGTTCAAGCCGCCATTTCTACCATGTACAAGTCAACTTGGCTCCACACGAACGAAGGTGAGCGAGCGTGCATTGCGTCGCAAAAATCTTCGCAAGATGAAAAATGAAAAACACGGTAAGATACCAATGCTTAAGGAAACATTGCGCAAGCTTTATCTACGCACACATCCCGACCTGTTTGGGCGGTATCCAAATCAACAGCGTGCGAACGAAGAATCATACAAGGAATTACTGGGAATTCTGGATGCGATCGAAAAACACAACGAATTTCCTCCAGCCAAGACGTTGAGCCTTCCATTTTTCTTAAAGACGCCAGTGGAGGGTGAGTTTCAAGAGGTAAAGTTACGGCTTCGCACAACGGGTGGTGCATGTAATACTCTGGTGGAGGAGGCGCTAGGTCGATTTTTTGGTGAATGCAGTCTACCAGAGGTTTTTCAATGGGGAGAAGGTAGTTGGGGCAAAGGTGTGGGAAAAGATGCAGTGGAGAATTCGAACCTTGGCTTCGATGAGGATGAAGAGGCTCGCGAGAAGGCACGAAAGGAGGCAGATAAACTGGCAATGCATGAGGAACAACTGCGGCGTTCAGCTCCAGCTTATAATCCTGTTGACCGCAGTGCGCCTAAGGATCAATCGATCGAGAAGGTATTAAACGAGATGGACGACACGTTGCAGCTTATTGCTGCTGTTCCTTATCTTGATGACGAAGACGAGCAACACCGCGCTATTAAACTTCATTTTGAAAAAGGATCAGGTCTGAATGACATTAATGCACAGGGCTACAAAGTCAAGGCGGGTGTAATTCAAATGTGGCAGGGTGAGCGTGATTTGAGGACACTTATAAGAGATACTGATGGCGACTCAGCAATTCTTTTGCAAAGAATTTTAATGCATACATTAGATTTCGAAAAGCAGATAGACGAGATTATTGCAAAGGGAGAATTGGAATAGGATGCTGCTAGTGCTCGAAAAATTGCGCTTTCCTGAATAGAGTGTTGTTGATGATCTTCAATGTGCAAATAGCCTCAGTCTGTTCGTGTGTATTTTCAAACGTTCAGGTGTCTATTTATACTGTGATAGGTCGTAAGCTTTACAGCTACACGACTCAAGGAAAGATGCCTCCGATGGTTGTATCTATGGACAAAAGAAGTCATTCAAAAAGTGTTCTTATGGGTCACTCTGTGTTTCCAATCATCAAGTCTGAATCAACGTTTGAAAAGGAAGACTGGAAATGCTCAAGTAATAACAAGAACAATAGAATTCATCCGGTTACTTCGATTACTCAGTCAGCAGCAGAATTAAAGAATATTCGAACAGCGAGAGCTTCAGGTGCTGTCAATGTAACCGATTCAAATTCATATGTGGTCAAAGTTCGAGTTTTGCACGGAATTGACTTGCACATTCCAACAAGTAGATCTTGCCAACACACTTTGCGACCTGAAGTACGAATCAAAGTTAACGGTGGTCCATTGCTGTCTTGCATTGCTGCTCAGCATGCTCGTAATCATTCAATCTGGAAAGACCACGACTTGAAATTTTGTGTCATTCCTCAATGTCAAGACTCAAGGCAGTCCAGACTCAACGGCACAGTGAACACGACTTCATCTTTCATTTCAATGTACGTTTCACTAGTCTGCAGTCTTTGTCCATGCACGGCGAAAAGTCAATATGGAGTACCAAAGCAAGTTAGTATTGGAGAAGTAGGGGAGCTACAATTTCCCACAAAACAAAACGAGAGCTACGAAATTACACGTTTTTTTTCAGTCATCCGTTATCAGCAGCGAAAAAAATGTCAATCGTCGGACGTGCTGCTATTAGCAGGAAAAATCAAGCTTCGTATTTGCGTTGAAGCTGAAAAGTTGATAGTCGGTTCCAGTGTGGTTCAGCCCAGGATCGATAGACTTGCTCCGTTAACAAAATCTCTGCCAACTAACTTCGAAGAAGCACTTAAGCGAAAACAAAAACAATTAAAATCTATTGTTTTGCCGATGGACAATTCAAAAGTGAGTAGTAATCAACATGTCGTGCGGATGAATACGAATGACTCTTTTCAGCTGATTTGGAAAATTACGATTGAGACTTTGTCCGATCATATCAGTGCGAAAGACCTGAGAGTTGAAGAAAAAATTGGCGAAGGCGTTCACGCACAAGTCAGTCGTGGTTTATTACACTGCGAGAGCGATGGTGGCTCTGTGCGAGTTGCAGTGAAAGAGTTTCGACATCAACACAAAGTCCCTCCTATCAATGTCCTTCGCGCATTTCAGCAAGAGTATCGAATTCTTGACTATTGTCGGAGCCAAAATGGTTGTGGGTATATCGTCGAGATGCTTGGTGTAATGGTTGAACCCCGTCTAGCACTCATTACTGAATATCTTGGTCTTGGCAGGTACGTCATCTGAGATTTCGTCGATCATTCCTCTTTGTAATCATTGTGCTACAGCTTAGCTCAGTGTTTGCTCAATGAAGATGTGTGGAGTCAGATGACGATTCTACAGGTATTCTGTCTACTACTGTTCTAGTTGAAAAAGAATGTTACGATTACTGTTTGACCCACGCAAACAGAAAGCGACACTTGGTTTAAAAATTGCAAAAGGGATTGCTTGGTTGCACAAGCACAATGTTATCCATCGAGATATCAAACCCCATAATATTCTTCTTAGCGGAAGTTTGATGGAGTCGAATTTAGTAGTGAAGGTAAGCTTTGCAGTAATACACTTATAGGTCTTTCCAGTGTTATATGCGATATTGCTTAATAGGTCGGAGATTTAGGTAGTGCCGTTATAAGACATCCGCATGAACCGCTTCTCACAGACGAAACGGGCTCATCAGGATATACTGCTCCTGAAATATTTACACGCCTCGGCTATGACAATAAAATTGACGTTTGGAGCTTTGGAGTTGTGCTATGGGAGCTTATGTCAGCCTCTTTACAGGATCGTGCTAACTGTTTCACAGGATTGACAGGAGAGGAATTCGTGAGAAAAGTTCAAGGTGGTTGCCGACCAATTTTCTCTTACGCACATCAAGTTTCTACTCGTGTTATCGTGGAAAAGTGCTGGTTACTTGACCCATCACAACGACCAAACATGAATGAAGTAGTTAAGGAGCTTGAGACTTTATGCACCGAGCTTTGATGTCTTCTTGTGCTTTGATCTCGAAATTTTGCTCAGACTACTTTTATCTAACCCTCTTGGAGCGAATGAAAGATTTGGTGTGGTGATAAAGCTTTAGTTAAATTAGGCTATCGCTGAAGTGATGACTGAAGTTTATGCCATAACGAAAGCCAAACGTCAGTTTTCAAAGGCGTACGCATTAAGCATGTATTGAAATTGATATGCTAAATCATAATCAATTTGGCAACAATTAAGGAGCTACGTGGAAGGTAATTGTGCTGCAATTTTATGTGCTCATCTCATCTGCATCCTTAGCTAACCTGTTAGCTGTTGTTTGCGCATAAGGCTCAAAGCGTCGAAAAGCGAAACAAACATACTATGAACAGTCAGAGGTGCGGATGGCAAAAGACTTGTACGTTTAAGTAAGTAGCGACAGTAATCGGCATCAGGGTTTCATCTTTGGTCTTGTCGAAAAAGGAACTAATTAGTTACTGTGACCCTGGATGGGGGCATCAAAGAGTACGAAATTGTATGTTCCTATCACCGTTGTCAGTTAGCAGAGATCAATCGAATACTTCGGTTCACTTTATTTACAGCATACATAGCTATGCAAAAAATTTTGGACCGACCCGACATTCGACATCAGATCTTTTGTCCAAAACTTTACGTATCGAAGTCTGTGTTCTTCAAATTGTTTTCTCACTGGTTCTCTTCTCTATCAGTGTTACAAGTCTCGTTGACGTCATCGGGATCAACGCCACCGTTTGAAAGCATCTCACGAACCTTTCTTTCAATGTTAAGTGTGTGCAGCAAGATACGCTGGAGGATGAGAGCCGAATCAGTATCTACACCGTCTGCTATAATCGCGAGATTCCGCTCACCCTTCCAGATTTTATGCGTACCCGCCGTTATACTGTACCCACGCTCGTTAATCTCGTCTAGTCCTCGGCCCTTTTCGAAGTGTTCTCGTAGCTCGCCATATTCCTCTTCATCCATTAAAGGCACAGCAGCAATAATTTCAAACACTTCATTTAGCTCTGTTAGCAGGTTTTCAATCGGCACATCCGCCATCGTTGTTCCACTATCATCAGGATTGAAAGCTGGAGCTGAACGCTCCAGTTGTTCCTCATGCATTGCCAGTGTATCTGCCTCCTTTCGTGCCTTCTCGCGAGCCTCTTCGTCCTCATCGAAGCCAAGGTTCGAATTCTCCACTGCATCTTTTCCCACACCTTTGCCCCAACTACCTTCTCCCCATTGAAAAACCTCTGGTAGACTGCATTCACCAAAAAATCGACCTAGCGCCTCCTCCACCAGAGTATTACATGCACCACCCGTTGTGCGAAGCCGTAACTTTACCTCTTGAAACTCACCCTCCACTGGCGTCTTTAAGAAAAATGGAAGGCTCAACGTCTTGGCTGGAGGAAATTCGTTGTGTTTTTCGATCGCATCCAGAATTCCCAGTAATTCCTTGTATGATTCTTCGTTCGCACGCTGTTGATTTGGATACCGCCCAAACAGGTCGGGATGTGTGCGTAGATAAAGCTTGCGCAATGTTTCCTTAAGCATTGGTATCTTACCGTGTTTTTCATTTTTCATCTTGCGAAGATTTTTGCGACGCAATGCACGCTCGCTCACCTTCGTTCGTGTGGAGCCAAGTTGACTTGTACATGGTAGAAATGGCGGCTTGAACGCATGATGCAAACGCTGACAATTTACCTTAGATGATGTAGTATTGATAAAAATTGGAGATGTATGTATAACAGAAAGCAGGCGCGATTGAAACGAGACGTGAACATGACGAAGTGTCATAATTCCAAGGTCTTTACTAACACTTCTTTAGTTTTTGGATGGATAGTTTAACTTTAGTCGTGACGACCAATGGCATATTGTGTGACATTGATAAAGGACTTGGACAGATAAAGTATGTTATCGTATTTAAGTGATATGTTTTTAGTAGAATAAAATTTACGCGACGCGGGACTCGAACCCGCAACCCCCAGATTCGAAGTCTGATACGC